GCTGAGCTGGGAGAAGTGAGGGGCCGCTGGAAGTGCCCTGCAGGGTGAAGGCCGGAGGAGGGGCAGGCTGGTCCTGGCAAGGTAGCCCAGCCCTGCCAGTGCAGTGGCAGCATAGCCCCGAGGGTGCTCTCTGGCCCCTGGGCCTGGCTCCAGGCTCCCAGGTCCAGCCCTGTGGCTTCCTGGATGTGTGACCTTGGGCGAGGCCCATGACCTCTCTGAGCTAGGGTTTCCTGGGGCCATAAAATGAGGAGAATCTGAGCATGTGAGGATGGCAGCAGATGTGGTGAAGGCTCTCACCCCAGCCTGGCCCATGGTCCTCAGTCGGTGTAGGAGAATTGTGAGGTTTGCCTCCCTAACTGGGGTCCCAACATGGGCCTCACGGTGTCCACGGAGCTCCCTGACACTAGACACCAAGACTGTATGAGTGATGTGTTTTTCTACCGGGATGGGCCACTTCACCAACGTGACCCAGAAAAAGTTGGGGATTTCTGCCACCAAAGGGATAGCATGGATGGCCAGTCCTTGGAGCCGGCAGGCCCGAGTTGGGCCCTTCTTCCAAGGAAGCTCTGGGCACCTGCCTGGCTGAGCCACATGGGGGTCTGGGAGCGCTGCAAGTGCATGCAGCAGGCTGTGGTGGCTTGGGTGGTGCTGAACCCCAGGAGGAGTTCGGGGTTCCAACGTGCCCTTTGCGGGCTGCATCACACCGGGGCGTCCCCCGTCTGCAGCTGCGTCTGCAGCCTTGCAGAAAGGAGGTGACCATGGGAGTGCCCTGTGCCTCGCACACCGACTGCTCACTGTCCTCTCTGTGTGAAGGTGTGTGCGGGCCGGTGGCCAGGAGCAGCTCCTCCCATGAGCTTCTGCCGTGAGCAGGGGGTCAGTCCTTATGAGTCCCACACTCAGGAAGCCTCCACCAAGGGGTCCAGGTCACAGAGTGAAGTCAAGAGATTCACTTCCCCTGGAAAACACCCTACTGGCCGCAAGATGCTGGCAGAAAGATCATTAACACTTTATAAGGCAATGAGGCTTCTGGGTCATGAGTGTCCCCTCGATAAGGCCCTCCTGGGTCATTGCTGGTCCCGCAGCCCTCATAGGGACCAAACTGCTTTCTGAGCTGCCTCCCCCTCTGAGTGAGATCTCTGTGGGGTGAGGGCGGCCCGGTCAGGTTTAGTCCTGTGTCCCGGACCCCCCCCCCGCCCCCGCCCCGTGAATAGAGACGGAGAGCAGGTGCAGAGCTCAGCCTGCACACGCCCACCACCGGCAATCCTGCAGCCCACTAGCTCCTGCGAGCGCCCCGCACTGGTTCCAGGGCACAGGCGTAGGGGTCCCCGTCACTGCCCGGGGTGCCCGTTACCTTGGGAACCACAGCTCAGGCCCCTCAGCGGCAGTGGGGTTGCTCCTACTGTTAGATTTTCAGGAGTTTTGCATGCTGGTCGTTACAGCCAGCCACTACTGAAAATTGAGTAAACCTGCAGTGACATAAATTAGAGTTAAAGCAAAGGTAATAACTACTCAAGAGTCAGCCCTGCCTAACTCCTTCACCACAGTTACTACCCTCCACGCTCTCGAGGTTGTGGATGGACACCGACCGCACCTGTAAGGAGAAATGTCCTGGGGCTTGTGCTGCTGGGCCTCTCTGTCCAACTCCACTCTCAGTGACATCACGTTGGCAGCTTGAAACGGGGGCGTGGGGGGGATGGTGGTGTGAGAAAGAGGCCGGGGGGCTCTGGGAGCCTGCAGTGAGGGTGCAGTCAGGAGAGGCTTCCTGGAGGAGCCGAGATCCATGACCAGGTCTGAGCAGTGAGCGGGAGGGGCTGACATTCCAAGGGTGGGAGAGTGGATGAAGGCACAGCCGTGCTTATTCCCATTTTCCAGAATCATAACTGAGGTCAGGTCATGCAGTGCAGCTGGACCGCGATGGAGCCGGGACCAGAATCCCGGTGGATCTGGTTCCTGGGCTGGAGGTCTTTGCACGATGCTGCCCTGGAGGGTCGTATGTCAGCAGAGCCCCGGCAAAGCATGTAGGGCCCCTGCCATGTTGCAGAAATGGCCTCCTCCCCATGGGCACATCGTGGGGAGCCCAGGGCACCCCAGGAGTGAGGCTGTGCCAGAATGAAGCCAAGCCACCCCTCTACAAAGGCGCCACACCCAGAGCTTCCTCCCTGTTCATTCAGGAAGGAGCTTGGTCGTGCCTGACCTTGGCGGGCACCTGGGGGTCAGGCCACTCTGCCTCCTGGGGAGCCTTCAGAAGCCAGGGCCAGGGGAGTAGGCCCGGGGTCAGAAAGCTGGCTCCAGCCACTGGGGTGAGCTGTGCCCCACGTGTCCCGCCTGCTACAGGGCACAGAGTGAAGGAGGACGCCTGAGTCTACCACATGACCTTGAGCGAGATTATCTTGGAAGCCAATTTGAACAGGACCCTCAGCTCCTCCTCACCTAGGTGGTAGGGGAGACTCAGCGGGGCAAGCTCCAACACTTAGGACCACACAGCTAGAGCCGGGGTGGGCCCAGGGGCGTGGTGAACAGATACCCTGCCGGGCATTCCTCGTCTGACCCTGGCCTGGCCCTCCAGAGTCCTCAGACAGCCAAATTCTGTTCTCGCTCTGCAGATGAGGATGGGGGCCCTGCTAGCCTCTAGGACTTCCCCTTACCCCAGCGTTCCCAAACCCAGCTACCATCATCGGCTGTGGGAGGCCTGGGCCACTAAGCCTGCAGTGGTAGGTTTCCGTGGGCCCAGATGGTCAGCTCTGACAAGCGCCCCGGGTTATTGCCAAGGCCTGTGGGGCTGGGAACTCAGCTGGGGCCCCAGGTAGCTATCTTCCCTGCTCTCTCCTAATCCCACCCTGTCTTCCCTGCCCTGCAGTGGGCTCCTGGATGCAGCAGGAACACAGGACCCCATCATCAGGGTTAAGAACACCCGCCTCAGGCTCCCCACATCCCATCCCCAGATGGAGCTCTGTAACCCCCACAAGGAGCCAAAAAGGAGGGAATCAGCCTTGGATCTCTTTCAGGGCCCAGTCGGGCCTCCTACCCAAGGACGGGTCAGCCGCCTCTCGCAGCCTGGCTGTGTTCAGGCACTGGGGACAAGCTCCACACCAGCTCTCCCTACCCTGGTCTGCCTGCCTCTCTCCTGCCACCGCGTGTCCCCAGGATGCAAGTCCTGAGGGTGCGCGTTTCTGTGGCCACGGGGCCTGGGCTCTGTGCAACTCTCCGATGAAGTTCCCAGGGCATCCTGGCCCCGAGGGTGCAGGTGAGCTTCATGGGACCTGCAGTGATAGGGCTCTGCGGCTCCACGAGTACCCCCGGGCTCCCCCAGCAGGCCCCCCAGCTGCCACTGTCCCCCTTGCCCTGGCTGGGGGGGCCCCCAGGCTTGAGCGCACAGTCACCCCTCAGCACTGTCCTCCCCACCGCTGGGGCGCCGTGCCTCTCGCCTCGTCTCCCTCCTGCGTACCCCCAGCCTGGCTACCCCCTCAAACAGCTCAGCGTGGGGATCCCTGCCTGCTCTGCAGGACCACTGTCCACTGAGGACAGCATGGAGAAGGGGGACGCCTGTGCCCGCACCAGCTTCGGGCTCTGGACGGTCCCTGGATCCGCTGCACGTCCGTCCATTCCCCCAGGGGCCCGTGTCCTCTGCCCGGCCAGGCTGCCAGTCGGTGCTGAGAGCAGTGGAAACAGTTTTCCTCTTACCCTCCCTTCTTCACCTCTCGATTGCCCCACAGTGATTGGGAAGGTTGTGATTTAGTGCCTGGAAAAGGGGTGATGTTGTCCGACGACAGTTCCGTGTCTCCGTGGACTGGCCGTGGACTCCTCAGCACACCCACGTCCACGCTGTGCGGATGGTTCATTTCTGGCGAGCGCCGGGTTCTCTTCCTGTGTGCAAGCTCAAGATAGCAGCGGGCGGCCGGCCCCTTCCTGGCAGAGACTCGCTTGATGGGGTGTTTGTGTTTGTGTGTGTGTCCATGTGTCCGTGTGTGGGTGTGCGCGCACGTGGGCGCGCACACACATGCACGTATTGAGTACTCTGGGCCTGGATTCAACCAGAAGGGCCTTCGGTGACTCACACAAGACTGAGGGGTGTCCTGTGTTCCCTCCTCCGGATCATGCCAACAACCGGGCTCCAAAACCCACTGCCCACCATGCAGATTTGGGGATTTTTGTGAAGGCATAAACAGTAGTGACGGGTGTCTATGCTTTTCATAGTTCACCAAATGTCTTCACCTCTGTTTCTCTCCGGACCATCACAAATTTTAGTATGAGTAGTTTTGTTTTAAAGTCAAGGAAACCACACTGGGGGGGAGGGGGGGGCAAGAATTGTTTCCTTTAATTGTAAAATTCCCATAAAATTCACCCTATTAGCCACTTTACAGTCTAGAAACCAGTGGCCTTTAGCACATTCCCACATGGTGCAACCCCCTCCTTGATTGAGTTCCGGAACATTCCCATGCCCCCAAAGGGAAATGCTGTCCCGTTGAGCAGGCACTCCCCACCCCCGTCCGTCCCCAGCCCCTGACAGCCGCTTCTCCGTTCTCGGTCCCTGTGGACTAGCCTCTTCTGGATGCTTCGCAGAACCAGAACCACACGCTATGGGGCCCTTTGCGTCCAGGCTCCTTCACTGGTCCTCCTGTTGCACGCCTTATCCGAGTCACTGTGTGCATCAGGCCTTCGCTACTTCTCGTGGCTGGACGACACTCCACTGTGTGCACGGACCCCACGTAGGCAGCTCAGTTGTGTCCATGTTTTGGCCACCGTGAGCAATGCTGCTCTGAACATGGGCGCAGGTACCTGCTTGAGTCCTGTTGGTCAGGCCGCTAACTGAGTCTCCTTGTCTATGTTCGGTGCCATGCGCTGCAGCGCGGGAACAGCAGGGATGCAGAAGGAACGCAGGGGGAGCCGGCCGCCTCCTGGACGCCGAGCCCGCCTCTGGACCGCCCGGCAGCATGGAGCTGGCCTGGCTGCGCGGGTTACAGCGTTGCTAACTGCTCCTCTCTGGCTTTCCCTGTTTGCAGAGGCACCTGTCGCCCGAAGATTTCCAGGAAGTGTTTGGGATGAGCGTGGAAGAGTTTGACCGCCTGGCCCTCTGGAAAAGGAATGACCTCAAGAAGAAAGCCCTACTGTTTTGACGGCTGCTGGTGTTTGTGACTGTGTGCAGCAGCGGCAGAGCCCGGGACACCTGGCGAGAACCACGAAAACCCCTCCTATTGCACCTGGCTCTGGCTTCCCTGTGTCCGTGGGGGGCGGGCGGTGGGCCCCTGGAGAGGGCTGGGCTGGAGGCGGGGGCAGGAGGAGGTCCCAGAGCAGGTGCGACCTCTGTTTCTGCCAGCAATGCTCCTGCCCCTGGTTCAGAGCCCAGACGCCTTGCTTTGCGCTGTTCCTTCCCCGCGGTTGCTTGGCATCAGGGAGATGCTGCAAAATAGCTGTCCCAGGAGATCAAGGAACACTTATGCGACGTGCAGCCCACCTTCCTGACCCCTGTGCAGTGCCCAGAACCCCCGCCCCCTGCACTAGGCCCTGGGGGCACAGAGGTGCCTGGGACTCGGGAGTGGAGGAGGTTTGTCAATGACAGACACTGACACAATCATGGGTGGGTGGGCATCTGGCTCCCAGTGTCTGCTCACCTCCCCCCCACTTGCTCAGCCCTGGGGAGGCAAAGCCTTGCCCCCAGACAGGCCAGGCCAGGGAGAGTGCCACAGAGCACCCGGACTGCACGAAGTCAAGCGCGGGGTGCATGATTTCTGCATCCGCTTGTGACAAAGTCTGTTTTTAGGGATAAACGTCAGCCTGACAGGGTACCTTTGGCCAGGGCCCTCCATGCACTGCATTTTTCTTCCAAATCATCCCCTAGATGCCTAAATGATATCTTTAAAGTAACACAGAAGTTTTTATTTTATTAAGGAGCATAGCCTACTTAAACATAAGATGACATATATAGAGTTCCATTTTACGGTCCCACGGAAGGGAGCGCTTCCAGCCTTATTCTCCACTGCTCAGATCTGTGTGTTTTTGCTTCTTAGTGTGTTCCTAACACCTAGGGCTCCTTGTCGGGTTTCTTTCCATTGTTTGTTTGTTTTTTTTTTCTTTTTCACCTGTCACACAGGTGCCCTTAAGGGCAACCTTTGCCCACATAATGCCCACGTAATGCCCACGTAATGCTCTTTGTAAGTATGCGTGAAGTGTAGCCACCACAGTCTGCCTCGCTGTTATTCTCCACGTCTTGGAGAGAGAACATCCTCTTCTGATGGCCAAAGCCCTGGAATAAAGGATTTCCATGCATCCAGCCTAATACCCAACATAGCCCTTGGTGTGCCCGTCTTTCCCGCAGTGGAACGTAGCCCCCTGGGCTGAAGCCTTCTGCATGAGTGTGTGGTCCTGAGACAGGCAACTGGCCGCTGGGGAAGGAGGAGGGAGACGCCACCCTCTTCTGGCCTGCAAGGTCAGCACAGGGTCCTGCAGCAGAAGGCTGGCCAGACGCCCTGCTGAAAGGCGTCCGTGTCTGTAATTAGGTGCGAGTAGGGCTGGTGCCTGTCCCAGGAAACTTGTAATGTGGGTTGAGAGGTTTATGAATCACTGGGAAGGTGTCACCAAAGTCTGTTCCCCTGTGTTCTGTGGAGCTGTGTCTTTCTGTGTGTCCTGGCTGTCCCGTCTGTGAGTCAGCATGACTCAGATCCTTCCAGCCCTACCACGCACCCCATTGCGCACCAGCTTCCCACCAGCCTGGCTCGGCCAGGGAGGCGTGTTTCTAGCACCTAATGCACTTCCTTCCCTTTAGCAATCTGCGCCCCGAGCAACTGGAAACCCCCAGTTTTTTCATTAGTGCAATGTTCTGTCAGCTCCCAGGGGAGCCTGGAAAAATAAAGGACGATGTATCCTAACTTGCGAAGGTGAAAGCCACTTCTCATTGACGTGTGTCATTTCTCAGCGCATGGGCCCCCTTCTGCTGATGGTGCCTGGGGAGAGCGTCCGCTGAAAGCAGCGGTGCTGGACGGTGCCCAGGGCAGGGGGTGCTGCTAGGGGCGGGACCCCCACCTGCATGGGGATACCATAGGACGCCCCTCTCTTGGGAGGGAGCAACTCAGGGGCACGTCCCAGCCAGCACCACGCTCCAGTGGTAGAGAGGGGCATGGGGGCTGATGCCGGCCCCCGTCAGCCTGGGGAGACCGACCAGCAAACAGACAAAGACAGCAAGATTGACCACTGCCCTCTGGGGAGGCCCCAGATACACCCCAGAGGTCAGGGGAGGCTTTCCAAGACAGTGCTGCCCAACCTAAGTCTTGACAGATGAGGAAGCATTCCCAGCAGCCAATGAAGGGAAGGGCATTCCGGGCTGAGGGAACAGTAGGAGCAGACACACTGCATAGCAGATAAAGCCTCCCAGGTTCTGGAAACTTCAGCACTGGTTATGGCTGGAGCACAGGGCTCAGGAAGGGAAGAAAATGCAGGTAGGGCTCCCATGCGGGAGGGCCCGGCTGGTCTGCCCCACCACAGTTACCCATGCTGTTCCGGGATTAAATGTTTCCTAATCTCTGTTTTAGCCTGCTCAGATTACGATAACAAAATCCCATCGAATGGGTGGCTTAAACAACAAACATTGATTTCTCATGGTTGTGGGGTCTGGAAGTCCAAGCCCCAGGTGTGGGCATGACTGGGTTCTAGGCACAGCCTGTTCCTGGCTTGCGGACGGCTGCCTCTCACCATGTCCTCACTTGGTGGACAGAGATGCTTTCTCTCCACTCTTCCCCCCACAAGGGCAGAGCCCCATCGTGAGGGCCCCACCCTCGTGGCCTCATCACCTCCCCGAGGCCCCATCGCATGGGGGGTTAGGGCTTCCACATACAAATCTGGGGGACACAGACATTCAGACTGTAGCGTTCTCTAATCTCACCCCAGGGAACATAATGGCTCTTGTGAACTTCGGGTTTCCCCCCCGAAAGCCGGGCCACACGCACACCATCTGCCCATCTTGGTAAATGGCACAATTCTATGCACCCCCCATTATGCAAGTCAGAAATGGGCGCACTTCGCTCAGCCCCGAAGGACCAGCCATCAGACACATCCTCCTCTCCCCCAGGCAAGGCCCCTCTCTACCGTCTGGGTTCAGCTCAGAAGTCCCCATGTCACACAAGCCCCTCGCCGGTTCTGTAGGAAATCTGCACCCCGGCTGTGCCAGGCTTCATCACACCCACCTGCTGTCCCCACACTGGCCCCTATTGACTCTTTCCCTTCACCACCTGTAAATCCGAGAGGGCTGACAGTTTTATCGCCGTGCTCTGCGACCTGGGGACGGGGTTGGAATATTTGGTAATGAGACGGGGGCCTGTATGGACACTGTGCTGACCCCAGCCTGGTCCTTAGTCCCCAGGCTGCCCTCCAGAGGGGAAACCCATCTACTGCCTGAGAGCTGGATCACTGCAGAGCTAGTTTCCATCCCCGTTGTGTCCCCCCTCCCCAACCCCCACCTTCCGGTGGAAGAAACCCTGGGGCCGGGGAGGTAGCCCACGTGTGCTATGCGTTCTGGAACCCAGCACAGCCCCTCCTTGGCGGGGGGGGGGGGGGTGCGTATCCCTAGCCAGCACAACTGCTGCAAATTTAACAAGGAAGGACATCAGTGCCACCCTGGTATCCCCCAGAGGCTGCTGGGATATTACTGAACTAGGTATCATGAATAATAGAGGCTCCCTTTCCTTCTGCCTGAATCCTGTGGTCCAAAGAGCATCCCTCAACTGGACATCATTCCCGAGAGCTCCCTTTAGCAGCCCTGCCTGCTGATAGCCCTTCCTGACTCTGCCCCCCGAACATCTCTCTGTTCTGACACGATGTGCCCCATCATTCCCTCTGGTCCATCCTGTCAATCTGCCTGTAGCACACACTCACCCATGCCATCCCCTGCCTGGAGACCTCCCTGGGGGGAGACCTCCGTGGCTGCTCCCTGACTCCTTCACAGGCATCACCTGGCCACCGACTCCCTCCACACACTCTTCCTTCCTCCTCCCCGATTACCCTTGTTTCTTAAGCAGCCCCTCCCTCTTCCCTCCCGCACACAGTGCCACCCTTTGCAAAGGCTCTTTCCTCTGCTTGGAATGCCCCGTCTAGCAAACTCCTATTCATCCTTCCATACCCAGCAGAGACACTATCTTCTCTGCAAAGACTTCCATGATATGACCCCCCCTTCCCAAACTGTTAGCACTCTTCTTTCCATCCAGATAGCTTAGTTCATCCACAGATATTTACTGAGCTGGGCAGGCATGACAAAACAGATGAAAAAGACACTGTCCCTGACCTCAAGAACTGATCACAAACCCATGGGGGAAAAGTACTATGGACTGAATTGCATTCCTCACAAATCCACCCGTTGAAATCCTAACCCCCAATGTGACTATATTTGGAGATGGGGTCTAGAAGGAGGTAATTACAGTTAAATGAGGTCATAAGGGTGGGGCCCTGATCTGATAGGGCTGGTGCCTTATAAGAAGAGGAAGAAAGTTTCCTAAAAGGCCATGTGAGGGCACAGGGAGAAGGTGGGTATCTACAAGCCAAGAAGAGAGCTCTCAGTAGAAACCAAATTTGCTGGCAGATGAGCTCAGACTTCCCAGCTTCCAGATCTGTGCGGGACAAATTGATGTTGTTGAAGCCCTCAGTCTGTGGTATTTTGTTACCCAGCGCATCTGACTGAGACAAGACAGTCAACCCTCAGTCCGTGGTATTTTGTTACCCAGCGCATCTGACTGAGACAAGACGGTCAACCCTCAGGCCGTGGTATTTTGTTACCCAGCGCATCTGACTGAGACAAGACAGTCAACCCTCAGTCCGTGGTATTTTGTTACCCAGCGCATCTGACTGAGACAAGACGGTCAACCCTCAGGCCGTGGTATTTTGTTACCCAGCGCATCTGACTGAGACAAGACGGTCAAAGGACCAGGCCATGGCAGCACAGGTAGTCAGCTCCGTGAGAGTGAGGGCAGGAGCCTATAGCCGGGAGCAGGTGGGGTGTCTGGGAAGGCTTTCTGCACCTAGTGCCACTAGGGCTGAGTCCAGAAGGGTGAGTGTAAGTCAGAGTGAGAAAGAGGGAAAGAGTGTTGCAGGCCGAGGACACAGCCCATGCCAAGGTCAGAGGATAGGAAGCTGCCTGCGGCCTCCAGGAGCTGCCCGGCATGGCTGGGGCAGGGCACGCTCCCTTCTCTGTGCTCCACACCAAGAAGTCTGGCTGGACCTGGCTTAGGACACTTGCCCCATCAGCTCGTAATTACCTACCTCGGCTAGAGAGATGTTGCCATGCCCTGCCTGGAGCCGCCTGGCACCCACCATTCCTACCTAATGTGTAGGCCTGGATGCAAACATCTGTGTCTCTGGCCATGGGATCCACTCAGCCTCCATGAGGGGCAGGCCCGGAGCACCAGGGAGTTAAGCAGCTTCGGAAGCAGCTCTCAACCAATAAGGCATCCCAGGTCTTCCCTCATTGATTGGGACAACTCTGAGCTCACCCCACTGGGATGGAGCCCCCCCATGCCCACTGCGACCACCTGCTCATGGACACACCTCCCTGGG